AAAGTTCAAATATTAGAACTAAAGATTTTATTATGGTGCTATTACAATAAACTCAAAATTAACGTGTGTGAAGTAATCTACGGGTGGACAGCTATCAACGAAGTAGAAGTTGATAATGACAGGGAGAGTGTTTTAGATGTTAAATTTTGAACTGGGTGCAGTGTGACAGCGACGTAAGTGTTATACACCTGATGATGGCCGTCTGAGGCCGAAACATGTAGTGTAGGGAGCAAGATCAAAGACACAAGAATATATTGTTTGCACTTGAGACGGAGGTTATATCATTTATCGTATGGAGTGCAACAGGATGCTTAAATATAATACAGTATTCTGAAGTCTCACCAAAGGATGAGCAGGGCAATAGTATAACCTTTCTGTTATCACATTTAAATGCCTCACACTACCTCCATTTCCAAGCCATTTTTTAAGACCAATACAGTTTTGCTCATGCTTACCCAAGTTTCCTGAATTGTCCAAAGAGGTGCCATTTCAAAATGTGGTATTCCTGAAAACAGCTCCCTTTACACAGTGGAACCTCAAAGGATTTATGCATGTACTGGTTTTCTTTCCTTTGTTTGCTAACATAGTGCCTCCATTTTCAGGGCCGAGGAAGAAGTGGAAGCAAGGAGACTAAGCTTTACTCTCCTTCCTGTCTGCTTGCATGCCTTACTTCTCAACCCTGAAGATGGGGGGTGGTATGTGCCTCTTAATCACCATTGCCTGGTCTGTACACAGTACTCCTTACCCATTTGCAAAGACAATATTCTGTTGAAATAAATAAAAATATTGTGGCAAGAAAGTAAGGATGGAAGAATTATGGAGATACATGATTAGAAATTTGCAGAACTAGTAAGCAAGCATGGAATTTGGGGAATCAGAACTAAACAAGAACTGAGGCAGAAGCATAAAATCCGTAAAGAGACTGAAGGAGCTGGTGAATTTGATTAGAACAGAACAAACATAAGTTTATCTATTTTCAGGCTAAAAATAACTTTTATTTACAAACCCACTCCAAGTTAATACTGAGTTTAAGGCTATGTTAAGCTTTATCTCCATGCCTCCATATACTTCCATGGCACCACATATAAGCATATGAGTAATATCAGCTTACAAAAGTATAACTTGATGTTGATTCAGTTGTTTTTATTTATTATATTAGCAAATATAACTTCACAAAAAATCACTAATCAGGCATTTATATAAATAAAAATATGACACCAGTTTAAGATAACAGAAAGACACACTGCGTATTCAGTTTGGTTTCATACAAAACTCATAATAGATTGCAGAAATAATTTTGTACCATTCGATAATATGTTTTGGAACAAATAATTTTACTTTATGATATACCACTTATTAAAAAACTGAAAAATACTTCTCTTCTCTAGTTCTAACAAAAAGATGAATGTGCCTTCCAGTGTGGAAACTGTTTTAGTAGCTGAGCGCGCAGATTGACCTTCTTCTTTCCCCTTGCATGGGGCTGATTGCAGACTGCTTTCTATGGAGTTCCTACTCTTTCTCCCCAAATGTTCATTATCAGTCCATTTAATGCTAGTGCAGATTTCCAGATGAAATTGCAATCAGCAATATGAGAAATATTGGCCTTCAGTTTAACAAAACTTTTTCCAGATGGCTGAGGTGACAGATGACAGAATGACACACTGGCTATACTGTTTCGTATTACGTTAATCTTATATTGGACTGCAGATAATAAAGTCTGGAACGAATTATATTACTTTATAAAATACGACTTATGAAAAAAAAAATAGATGAATTTCTCCTCTTCTGTCGTGTCGACAAAGAGGTGAATACCCTTTCTGATGCAGAAACACTTTTAGCACCAAGCTCGCAGATTGACGTTTTTCTTTCCCCTTGCATGGGGCTGATTGCAGATTGCTTTGTGTGGAGTTCCTACTCTTTCTCATCAAATATCTTCATATTGAGTCCATTATAATGCCACTGCAGATCTCCAGATGAATTTGCACTCAGCAATTTAAGACATACTGCGCTTCTATTCAACTTTTTTTTTGGGGGGGGCGGTTGGCTGAGATGACAGATGAAAGTGACACACAGGCTATCCAATTTGTTTTTATATTATTATTATAATGGATTGCAGAAATTCTTTTGTACTCTATGATGATAAGGTTCGAAGCAAACTGTTTTACTTTATAAAATGCTCCTTATGAAAAAATGGATGAATTTCTCCTCCTCTCTAGTGCTGACAAAGAGGT